CACTTTAGCCTCCTCTTTCTTACATGTACCTTTTAAAAAAGCATCCCTTATCTGACCAGAACTTGATTTGTTCAGAAGTAGGAAATTCTGATGTATCATCTCTGAATCCAAATGGGTGGTACATGAACTTTCTAACTGATACCCCTGTCACAGTGCTTCCCTAGAGCAGACAGACATTCTCCCAGCCTCATACTTTTGTCTGAAAATTATATATAGGTACACCAAACTTAAACTCGGTACAGGCTGCTTGCTTGCGCTTTGGAAACAGAAACCCTTTCTGGCTTCCTGGATTGCACATGGAAGCTCTCACAAACTTTCTTGCTTTGACTGCAATGTTCCCCCATCTGGATGGTAGCTGCCAGAGAGGAAGTGGGCCAGTGCTGGAGTTGGCTCTCAACATCAAAGAACAAACATTTAAATAAGCAGGAAATGTTTGTTGAAATATCGGTGTTGCGTATGTTAAACAGGCAGAGGTGTCACTGAATTAGAGTACATGTGGACAGCCTACAGCTGATTCTAGAGTGAGCCACTGAACATGTCCCTAGGAAGGATTTAATCAGCAAAACTCAAGCAAGATAAACCAGGAGGAAGAAACTTCTCCCTGAGGAAAGTTTTCAAGTTCCTTGAGACCCTTCAATCGTGGATCTCTCGGACTGCTCTGCAATTTCACCTATAATGTAGGAAAGGTTTCATGTGTCTCTCCTGTGCACAAAGGACCATCAGTGGCTACAGAAATGAGGGCAGAATCAGAGAAAAGTAGCCCAATCTTAACAGTGTTTCCAGACAAAAGTCTCAGCAAAATATTTAGCTATTGTCTTCCGTACCAGATACCAGATCTTCTTCCACCTCTCAATTTCCCTCCCACTTTATTCTTTAATGATGTTGATTTTTTTTGGTGACAAGTTATAGGGAAGAGAGTTTCTATTCAAACTCCAGGCACAATTGTATGCAGTGGTATGAGGAGGGTACATAGGAAGTCGTTCCAGATGAAGATAGGCTGACAGCCAGTGTCTTAAAAGAAAGAATAGGTCTGAGGCCCAGTTTACATTAGTCCAATATGAAATTATGGGCTACTAGCAAAGTCTGGATGTGGATTTGGGCACGTTTCAACACTGCTCTGTTCAGTAGATGGGGAAGGTACAGGAAGGAAGGGTTGCTGACCTTATGGTTTTAGTCTGGGCCCTTCTCCAGCCACAAGCAGCCTGAAGGAAAGTTGAGACTGATTCAATTAGTCTTCTTGAAGTCCCACTGCATTTCATTGAATAGAGCAAAAAGAGAAGAGTAAAAGTGAAAATAAAATAAACAACAAGTCAGTTAGTTTAAAAGACGAGTGACAGGAATTTGTTTCATGTTGTTTTTAAGACAAGAGGGTTCAAGTCCAAGTGAGACTGACAGAAAGAAACCACAGAAAACATCAGGAGAAATACAGATAACAGAACTATGGGTATACTAGAAAAGTAACACCTATAGGTAAAAAAAAATCAAACCTCCAATTAAGTAATTCAGAATATGAAAGTTTCCAGGAGACATAATGGTGGTTTTAACAATTACAATGTCAAACCATTAACAGTGATGATATGGAGATTAGAGAGAGCTAAAGGATTTCTTTGCATTGGTTCTTCAGAAGTAGAGATGATAGCAGGAAATAGCAGGCCTTTAGGTGTAACATGTACATAATATGAAAAGAGAGAGGTTTGCTTTTGGTTTAGATGAGCGTAAGAAAGTAAATGTTAATAAAGCATCTGCATCAGGTCATGTTTTGTATAAAAGCAGTGACTGAAATACAAAGGATAAAATAACCAACTTCTTAGCTAAAGTACACATGTGAGTGTTAAAAATAGTACTTACTGCAACAAACAATGCCAAGAGAGAAAACTGTGTATTTGTACCTGTAATGGGTTCTTCAAAGGATGCGAGCATTCAGATTACAATCTCATTACCAGCAGAAATTTTCAAGGAAGTACTTACATTTTTCTTGTTATTAATGATAACATCACATGTAATGGGAGGCACCGAGACGTAGAAGAATGAGCAAAGTTGGGAAGTCCAGACACTGTTATTCTTTATTTGTACTGAAGCAGTGGCCATGAGCCAGAAGTCTCTGGACTCAGAAAAGGCTTCTTCTCCAAAGAGCTCCACCATTTACTTAGAGGGAGATTTGTGCCATTTCACAGTTCTTCTTCAGTTTTTCTGTTGCAGACCAGACGGACTATAATGATTACCTGATACTTACTGCTAATTCATGTTCATAAGGCTCTTGGCACTATAAGAAGTGCTGAGTGTTTATTATTTTGCAATAACAGCTAGAAAGAGCATAATTATAATAGTCAGACTTTCATTTTCACATATTGTTTGTTTTCACAACATTTTCACAAATTCACTCACCACATTTTTTAATCAGAGGGTTGAACAGAGAATCCTCAAAGCTAAAATGAAAAATAACTGTGTTAGGACTTGTAAGAAACAGGCTCCATTGATTGTCTTTAGCTTGGAAGAAGAACAGTCAGTACTCAAGGTCAGAACCAAAAACGGTGGCAGTATACCATTAGTGATAGAAATGCTCTTGCCAAGTAATGCATGCATGTAAGGTGCAGGTGGAGATGAAGAAAACAAATTTGCAACAAAAGGCGTCTTTTGAAATTTCCATTGAGAAATCCAGAAACAACAGCGACTTGTTTGAAGACCTGAACAGAGACAGCACGAATGGCCTTCACCCAGGGAAACAAAGGGGCTCCAGATAATTTTCTCATCTGAAAATAGGACATATGCCCCTCAGCTTCTCCCACGACCGTCATTATCCCCCTTTCAAAATTTGGAGTCACTTCATATTTCACTGGCACTGGAAGATCATAACAAGTGCTCTGTGTGCTGCTGGTCCAATATGGTATCAATACAAATAAAATATCTGTAGAAATACTGCTTAGACAATGGTTTACGACGGAGTCATCAGAGAATGACCCTCCTCGTGTCGTGTTTAAGTTGCCCAGGCTCATGGGGTCACCAGTACTCAAGGAGTCTTCCAGAGAAACCATGCATGGACACTGAGAGCTGTCCTTCCCTGTGCAGAACTGAGCTATTGTTCACCTAGCAGTTCCTAAGAGGTCAAAGCATTTTTAAGCATTGTGCAGTTTAAGCCTACCTACCCCAGAAGTGATTGGGGTTCTCTGTTGGATAGGGTGAGCACTACAGTGAGAAAGGAATAACAGTTCTTCCTGACTCCAAATTTCATAATGCCAGAGTCCATGGAAAAGAATAAAGCTCTGAGTGTGTTAGTATCTGCCATTTGTGTGCTAGCATGACCCTAACGTGCCCTAGGAACAGAGTCCAGCACTGCAAATTCACTCAAAGAGTCTCTTCATGTCTTCCTGATCAGATCATGAGAAGGAAACAGATCTGTAAAGAGAGGAAAAACAGTATCTGTTCATGTGGCTTTGTATATATTTACATTAATTTAATAAATATATATATATATTGCTACTCTTACTTTATTTTTAGACCTCTCTAATTAGGGAAGTTTAAGAGTCACCTCTGTCCCCTCCTGCCCCATAATTATGAAAACACCTCCCCAGTACAAATCCTGGCTCAGATGAATTTACTATATTGTAGAAGAAAAACTTGTTGTTCATAATGATGTGGTCAGAGTTATTTTCTCTCTTACTGGATGGGAAAAACTTCTCTACTTTTTTTTTTTTTTCCCTTGGTATAAATATAGCACAAACTGAACAGAGCCACTCTGTAATGTAAAAATACTGCAAGCTTTTTATCAGGAAGGAGAGCTCGTCACCTTGTCTCTCTTGGGACTGGAAATAGAATGTTCCAAAAGTGAGAGCTTTGAAAATCCAGTGTGCTGAGGAGGAAAGGAAGGGGAAAGGGCTGCTTCGGTTTGTCAAGGAACAAATATTTTCTTTTACAGAGGACAAATAATGACTTGACATGTAACATTCACAACAGAGCAGCCCAATCAGCGCATTCCCACTGACTCATGAGCAAGGAGGTACCACCCATCTTGAAAATAGCAAAAGCATCCCCATTTCTTGCAGTCTGGAAGCTTTTGCTGGACACAGAAAACAGTGACTGATCCAGGGCTCTGAGGACCAAAGCTGCCAAGACCTGGGGCTGAGAGAAGCTCTTTGTTAGGAAGTTAGTAGAGATTGTAAGGTTTAGTGCATCAAAGGCACCGTAACATCTGGAGAACTTCAGTGTGAGGATAATAAGGAAATGCAGATTGTTGTGTCTTTACTGTTTCGAGGTGGGTCAAAGTTAGGCCTAAACTGAACGTGTGTTACTTGAATCAGGTATTTTCTGAGCAGCGGAATGCAATTTGGTAGAGGGAAGGATAGACTCAGGAAACCCTCTGTGCAGAGCCATTCCTGAAGACACACTGTCCCAAAATGGTAGTCGCTACAGAAAGGCTAAGCACAAGTCAAGATGAACGAAAAATGACAAGCTTTGTGTGGCCATGCCAGTTCCTCTAGAGGAAAATGCTCAGACCATGCATTTTCACAGGTCTACCAGGGCTCAGATAAACACCACGTTGCCAAGCCTGGCCCTGGCTCATCACTTACCTTCCAGCTGAACGTGCCTCCAAGCCCAGTTTGGACACAAAAACTGCTCCTGCAAGCCATCTCGAAAGTGTGTGGGCCTTACCTATAAGGCAGAGTTAACTCTGGATGACACTCAGAGAGGCAAGGCTAGGGCAGGCCTAGCAGACTACTAATTATGCCACTTTGGCTGATTGTCTATTTTTTCATGTGGCCATGTAACTAGCAAAAGCAAAAGGGGACTGTGAGGCAGTACTTTGTAGTGGTTAAGCTAAAGATGAGAGAGGAGTGCTGTAGTCCTGGGACCCTGGTGTCCAGGAACATCTGGGATATACAAGAGGCGGTAGATTCAGGAACTATGAGACAGAGGAAGCAGAAATTTCTACCCATGTCCCTCACTGCAGGAACCCGTGCTCACACAGATCTCAAGGGTGGCACAGACTGCCCAAGAAATATCCATGGTGGGTTTTTAACCCACCCTCCAAAATTCTGTCTAGCAGGAAGACTTCAAAAGAAGGTCTATAGCAGGGATAGGGCAGAAGTGTTTCTTCCTAATCTGTCCCTCAGACTGCTCTCCAGCCACGGGCAGGAAGACCGGTGCCTCTTGGGCAGGCTGAGGATGGGAACGGGCACCAGTAGTGTCAGCCTCTGAGATGCCACCACAGGGCAAAGGCATGGTCACATCTGTGTGAGCATGTCCTCAGGGATCCAGCCAGACTCCCCTCCCTAATGCAGCAACAGGGAGCACGCTAGGGCACGGCCAGTGCCTGGATTTAAGAGTAGAGCCAGAAGGGAAGCAGAGACTATCCCAGGGAGCTTTCTTACTCATAAAAGGCATTTGTCAATACACTGTCCCAAACTCTTCACAACAGGTCACTAAAACACTACAGCAAACAGCAGCTGATGGCTCCAGAATGAGTCTATTGCTGCTCAAACAGTCAGCACAGCTAAGCAAACAGGCCACCAGGGCAGGGGCCATGTTTGCATTCGCTGTTTGCACTCCTCTACGCAGCTAATGGGATATTGCATTCATCCTAAGAAGTCTGCAAAAAAAGAGAGAGAAAGAAAGAGAAATGGCTTCCTGTTGATCTCTTTCCAACAATTTTTTTCAGTTTCATGCGTTGACCAACCTGCCATTTTAGAAGATAGATTTATCCCTTATTAGGTAAATTGGTAAATGTTTGCTTTAGAATGATTTTTAATAGTCCCATCTTAAATAATGCCCTCTGGTGTCATGCTACACCCACCCTGGCTTTGGTTATCTCTAGGGTTTTTTCTCTTGTTAGGAGAATGGATATTTTATTGAAATGTAAAAGGGTTACAAGTCAGGAGGAAATGAATTATACAAAATCTGAAAGTAGAAAGCTAATAAAATGGTGGACTTGATAGATAAGGCAGGAAAATAAATCTAATTTGACTGTAACTCGAGTGCTTCCTGTTCATGAAGTAATAACCGTACCCTGGGCTAAACCAGCATTAACCCAGGACATGGCTGTTACTCTGTCAAATTTGGCTGGCTCTAACAATTTACAAATGGTGGCTCAGATTTTAGCTTTAGTGTGATGATTAGTTTGGAGCCTGGTGGGAAATAAGGCTGTGATCTCCTAAAAGGGGACTTCAGTGAGGTGCTTTCTCTGAAAAGTCCATGGGAAGGGCTCTGGCACAGGCCAGGGAAGATGACAGAGCTGTTTCCTGATGTGAAGTGATGTAGCACTGTGGGAATCATCTTCTTTGTTTTTCTTTTTTTACTCTGTGTCCTCAGTGACTCCCCCCACTCTTTATTTACCCAGCCAAAAATCCTCAGGCCTGTTGGAAAAAACACCTTCAAGTACTTTCCCTCTCTACCCATAGGGAGGGGTGATGGAGAGGGGAAAGAAATGGACCCTTCTTTTCCATAACATGCCATATTTTTGAGGAAAAATCCCATTTTACGAGATGAACATACAGCTCCTTTCTAGCAATAATACAGACTAATTCAAATCGGGGGTGGGGGGGAAGCAGCATCCCTTCCTCTGCCTCTGGGACAAATGTTCCTGGGCTGGGGATGCAAAAGTTTCAGCCGGGGCCCAAAGACGTCTGTTGCACAAGCACAGCACTTTGTTTCAGATCCCACAAGTGTCCTTGTTCCAAGTAGGTCATTATATAATGGCTTTTGTCTTTTCCCATTGCCAAAAGTGTCCAATAGAAAATGTCACAACACTATGCATCGCCTGCCCATGCAGTCCTTCCTGCAATCATCTCGTCTGGGTGGGACTCTCTCACTTGATGTCATTCAGCCCAGTGCAGCTCTTACCTGTGCAACAAAAATACCTGGCCAGGACACAGACTGCATTGTTCCCCCTGGTATTTTGCAAGCCATGCCCAGGCTGGGGGCTGCCACCATGTGAGGTGCTCCCCTCTCCCACTCCCCCCGCTGCCTCCAGGGCATTCCCACCACCTAACCCTGCCCTGCCTCACCAGGAGCAGCCAGCACTGCACTCAGGCCCACTCAGACACAGAAGGGAACAACACAGCCCAGTGCAGGGCTGCTCCTCCTGGATGATGTGCAGTGGTCGCCTTTACATTTCCCCTTTGTGTTTGTTATTTCCTTTTTTTTTTCCTACCCTCCCACCCCACAGACGACTGCCACCTTCCTCTGCTCCTTTTCTCAGTGGTCCCTGAATAGCAAGAGCATAGCCCTCACTACAGCAAAAGGGAGGATGACATGGGGTATTTGGCACTCAGCAAAAGGAGAAGCAAACACCAGGTCTTTTTTCTTATTATTCAGGCATTTAGAATTGGTCACAGGTCAAACTAGTTGCACTTTTTACCTTCCCCACAACCTGTCCAGTTCTCAAGAGCTTTTCTGCACCAGGATGTGGCTGCATCTTTGGCTTATGTTACGGCTGGCACTTGCACAAAACCATCTAAACAGAGTAAAACAGGTTAGCAACAAGCTTGTCCTCTGTTCTCTAGTGAAGATGGCTCCTGCCCTCTCATGGTTGAAGGCAGATATGTAAAAGCACTTGTTTGTTCTTTGCGAAGAAACACCAAATACCATCGCACGCATTTCCTTCAGATGGCTCCACAAAGTCTGGCGTCACCCTCCTTTAGCACACACACACTGACGCAGCTGGGAAACTCTTCTGGGGTAGAGACTGACCAGTTGTCACGAGCGAGCAGACACTTAGCAAAGTAGGGTTGCAATTCCCAACTGTGGTGTCGAAGTGTTACCAAAATACAAAGTGTAGGTAATACATAAAGAAAGTCACTCACTTACTCACTCTTTTCACACAGTGTTGATCTTTTTTCCACCAATTAACCCACCCTTTCTGCATCCGTCCATCTCAAAGGAAAACGACATGCACGGGTTTCTTTGATGCACCATACAAGTTTTTGACAATAGACTAAAGGCCAGGGTTGATACTATGAGTGAGGTGAAATTGTCCACTATGTTCTCATTTCCTACTTGTTCAGTCTGGAGGGGGTAATGTGAAATGCCAGGGAACTGAAGCCTAGAGGTGGCAGACAACCAGCTCTCTTGTTGATTTCCTGGCACTGGTTTCTGTTTCCCAACCATCCAAAATACTTTGTTTTCATTCATCCCAACATGGGAAATAACAGTTCCAATGTTTGAATGAAGTAATGTCACTTAGGAGATCAAATATTTTCTGAAGTATCATAAAAGCAATAAGCATTAGCAAGAGCTATCTGGACAAAGGTCTACCCGCCTCCCTCCTGACAGGTTTACTAGGGCTTGTGCATGAGGAAGGAGAAAGGGGTTGGTTTGCTCTGGGTTGGGTTGTTCTGGGGAACTTGTGTCTTTAAATCACACAATCCCTGCTCTCTCCTCAGCTCCATCTGTGTGGGTTTTAACTGGCATTGTGCTATTCAGGTACAGAGATGACTTCTGCTCACAAAGTATTCCTGTTCTTTTTGCTCTTGTCGCTTTTCCACTGGATTTTGGCAATCAAGGTCAAAGTTGAGAACCAGCATGACTTCCGGGACATGGCCAGCATAGTAGCCATGGCAAAAACGTATGCCACCAGCGAGCCGTTCATTGACTCCAAGTACGACATCCGAATCCAGAAAATTGGCAGCAACTACAAGGCTTACATGTGAGTGCATGGCTATGCTGGAGTGAGATGGGGGGGGGGACAGACAGTGCAGTGGATGTGATTCAGTTGGTGTCTCCTCTGGGCAGGAGTAGGAAGCTGATTTAATTTCCTTGAAGAATAGCCCTGCTGTTCTCCTCCTACCTCTGAACCCAGATCCCTCATCCACTGATCATCTTCTCCATTACTCACCATCAGCTCATTGTTTCTGGAACGTACATCTCTCTCTACCTGTTTCTGAGACTCAGTTAGTTTTCACTAAAGCAACTGTGCTCTGCCATCACCTATCACCTGTCCCTCATGAAGGGCTCATCTTTCCCATTAAAATCCTCCAGCTCCCACTACCCTCTAGTGGGAACTGAACCCACCTCCTTCCCACCTGGGGGAAACAATATAAAAGTCTTGCAGTATCCAAACCATAGCAACACCCCCTCATCTTCCCAGCTGGAGCTCACGGCACCGCAATCACATGAAGACACGAGGAGCACACAGCACTGCGTACCGACGGCCTCAGCCTGGCCAGCATGCAGGGTTTCTGTGGGCACTTTGCATGTGTGCTCCTTGAAGCGTACAAAGGAGGGAAAGAAGAAGAAGAGACATAGAATCATGGAACAGAATCACAGAATCATTCAGGTTGGAAAAGACCTTTGACATCATCAAGTCCAACCATCAACCCTACCCTACCAAGTACACCCCTAAACCATATCTCCCAGCACCACATCTAAACCACCTTTAAACACATTAAGGGATGGTAACTCAACCACCTCCCTGGGCAGCCTATTACACTGTCTGACAGCCCTTTCAGTAAAATGATTTTTCTTAATGTCTAGCCTAAACCTACCCTGGCACAGCTTGAGTCCATTCCCTCTTGTTCTGTCGTTAATTACCTGTAAGAAACCAGCATCTACCTCTCTACAATCTCCTCTCAGGTAGTTGTAGAGAGTGATAAGGTCTCCCCTCAGCCTCCTTTTCTTAAGACTAAATAGCCACAGTCCCTTCAGCTGCTCTTCAAAAGACTTATTCTCTAGACCTTTCACCATCTTCGTTGCCCTTCTCCAGACACGCTCCAGCACCTCAATGCCTTTCTTGTATTGAGGTGCCCAAAACTGAACACAGTACTCGAGAGGTGCCCCAAAGCTCCTCCCTGCCCTGTGGGGTAGTGAGGGAGGGGGCATGAAGGCAAGACTCAACACTGGTATGTTTAAAAATAGCAAAAACCATTCAGCTGAACTTAGTAGTCATCAAGCTTAATTTAAGATGTAACCACATGAGTCAGTAAGACACTTGTTTCTTCCTACTGCAAACCAGTAGATGAGAAAAGCCAAATAGCACAGCTTCTCCAGAAGCTCCTTATCCAGCCACAAAATTCTGGGCAAGTAGACAGCTCCAGCAGTACATTCTTCAGGTTGCCAGATAAACTTCATGTTATGTAACACCCACAAAACTGTGGGTTTTAGATCCATGTTTACAAACCCCGAGGCCATAGTTCTGGCGAAACACAGTTAAATAAGATAACCAAATGTACATGATCATATTTCTCAGCTATAGCTGCCTAAAATTCCTGGTTGGATTCCTAGCACAGAGGTATTTAAGTAACTAGATAATAACTGAGTGACATTCTTCATGGGAAGGACTTGTGGGACACTTCGCTACTTTATGTGAACTCAATGACAAAAATTTGTTTTAAATCTGATCAGGTCAACAATAGCTCAGTTGCCTGATATTACATTAATATCTCAGGGAGCCTGGCTCAAATTGGCCAAAGGAAGGAAGGTTTAAAATATCAATTAAAATTCCCTATTCCTGCCAACCTACCCAGCCTTGGCTCCAAAGTCTGCTCCCAGCCTGTCTCTAAGTGAAACAAAGGCCCAGTTAGCCTGACCATATCCTCTCCTCATTTATTATTTGCACTTACCACACACTCATCCAGACCGGGATCAGAAATAATACCAAACGACTGAGGAAAGAAAGCAGTCACACTAAGAGCTAATCCCACTTGGGAACATAGCTGCGCAAACAATTGTTTGCTAAGTGAAAAATGTTTTCACATGAAAACAGCCATGAATGGGAAACACCTTAACGAGAAATGAAACTTATTAGCAAAGAAAGCAAACAGCAAAATTCACCCAGCAACTTGCTAACCCAGAAGGCTGACTTATATTGAGACCACCATTTAGGGATGTGAGCTTGGGAAAGCAGTATAGTCAGTCCCATCAGGGTCTGTTCCTTCTGTTCCAGCATCAGACAGAATAGAAGGCTATTTCTATGGTATAAATAAGTCCTTACTATATAGGACAGAGGTAAAAGAACCCAAAAATCAGAGCTCTCACTGGTGTCTCAGATAGCAGACTCAAAATCATTAGTCATGCTAGCAAATCTCAGCCTTAAAGGCAATTACAGCATCTGCAGTAGCATCATACTAAGCAAATTGCTTTGATCTGTGAGCCATGGAAACTCCCCAGTATTTTTATACCTTCACCCACACATATAGGCTTTAAAAGACCCCTTCCTTCTGAGAAAAGGCCATGTACTGAAATTCTCCAGAATATGTTTACTCTGCACCAAGCATCTGCCAGAGGGAGGATGCTGCAGGGTGACTCATGCATTCCTCCCCGCCCCAGATGTTCAATGCACTTCCTTCCAGCCCATGACCCAAGGCTTGAGTTCAGTTTCCCATTGACTTCAGTGCAGTGACTCCAGATTTACACTACTAACAAACACCTACTTAGCCCATGCTTTGGGCCAGTCTCAAAACAGCAGATAAGCAGCATGTGATACATGCCTAAAATTCCACCAAATGTGTTTGACTCTCATTGTAATGCTGGTGAAGAGAAAACACAAATGCTGCTCATGTGATGGAGAAATTGGGGCAGAAATTATGCTTCCCCCCTCACCGCAACTAGGGGCAAACAGAGGGATCATTTCCAGTTAAGACTCATGAAATATTGTTCACTTTGAATGAAGCCAGCAGCTGCTAGCTTTCAGGGGTGGGATATTCCTTGCAACCAGCTCTCAGTAAGAGGGTAATATGCTTTCCTTTCTAGTTTCATGAGTGTGACTTCTGATCTTGTCATTCAAATGCAGTTCAATGTGCTCTGCAGGGGATACAACATCAACTGTGTCTAAACTAGAGCTACTTTTAGACTGAAATGGTCCAGGTTGGAGATGGTGAGTACAGGACACCAACAGCCCATGATCTGCTAGTATATCCATTTATCTTAAGCAACGCTGAAGGTATCCTGGTCGCAGATCTGCTTGGTCAACTGATCCCTAAAAGCCTAGGGTCCTCACCTTTAAGATACTGACTGTAACTGTTGTGGCCCCCTGATGTTTGGCATGATTGGAAGCACTTTGACTTTCAGTCCCTGAGAGAAATGGGGTTTGAGGCAGGGCATCCTTAGGGAAAGTTTTTTTGTCTTCAGTCTCCTTTTCCACTTCAGGTTGAATACAATAAGGGAAAGAAAGAAAGAAGAAGAAGAAGAAGAAGAAGAAGAAGAACAAGAAGAAGAACAAGAAGAAGAACAAGAAGAAGAACAAGAACAAGAACAAGAACAAGAACAAGAACAAGAACAATTTGGTGGCACGCTTGACACCTAAACTGCTCAGTCATGCTTGCCAAGGGAGTGATCTTGACAGAGGCTGTGGTGTAGGGACTTGGTGTCTGGTCCAGAGGGCTTCAAATGAAGATCTTCCATTTAAAAAACAGGAAATTTTCCTAACAGGAAAGATAGGGATACAGCTGAGAGAAATATTTTATATCTTATGCCCAATATTGGCTGGAGATGGATAGGCATAAACAAGTCAAACCAATCAGCCCAACAGCTAGAGCAGAGTTCTTATTTTGGAAGTCTTCCCACATCAAATTTCCTTTAAAACCATATAGCTGTGGTTTGGTTTACTCAGGGAAGACACAGCTGCTTACATTTGGTATGCCAGGTACATTTTCTAAACATGGTTATCCAATCATGTTGTTACTAATCAAACTCCAGGAGTTCTCATCAGTACTAATGGGATTCTGGATACCATCTGCCACAGCAGGGTAATTTTCTGAACCTAAATGTTAATAAAGAGTGGTTCTTCCTATTGCAGAACTGAAAAATGTAATCGTAAGAATCCCATGTCAAAAGAAGAAGAGAGGATGAGGGTTGAACACTGACCTTACAGGCCATCAAAGGGCTCATAACAGCCACAGTTTGAGAAGGAATCCATTCTTTTGCTTCGAGAATAGGGCAGGAAGATGGATGTTAGGTGAAGGGAACAAGGGACAAGAGTCACCTATATGGAAACAACAGTTATTCAACACAGTAATCATGCTCCTTTGACCCCTGCCCCGCCCTTTAAATATGGTTACAAAGACCATTTAATTTCACAGCAACTGTACATACCACTTTAGAAGATAATTTAAAAAATGGACTCCAGGCTGTCCCTCATCAGTGTAAAGCAGAACCTTAGGTAGTCGGCTATAATGATCCAAGTTTATACTCTAGCAGGACATCCATATTACTGCTGCTTCACATAGTTCTGCAAGTTCAGAATCTCTTTTCCACATCATGTTGAAAAGGTGAGAGAACTGGCAGTGAGGATTCCCACAACCTCATATTGAAGTGTTGGATCACACCCCATACTCCCCTCATAAATCTCTACTTCAATCTTCTTCAGCATGGAGATGCTCCCTGGATGTATCCTGCCAGCTTGTTGACTTGTCCCAGTTTGTACACTATGCCAGGGTTATCTGCACAGTGTTGTCACAGCAGGCTCTCCAAGGGCTGCCTTGTGCCTAAGGTCAAGAAAAGGAAAGTTTTCACCTCTTGGTGGATGATGGTGAAACCCAGGATCTGCCAGCAACAGCACCTTTTTCGGAAATTAACCATCAGTTGCAGCTAATGAGACTCCAACAATTTTGCAATTATAAATTCTCCAAGTCCAGACACAGTGAGCCATGGAAAGGTCAATGAAAAGTCAGTGAAAAGAGGGTATAATCATATAGTCTATGACACCAGTACAATTGAAATCAAAGCTGGGGAGATCCAGGATGTCAGACCTGACATTTGTGAATCTGTTTAGGTAGATGTTTGCCTGGAGGGTTGCTCTTCCATGGGTGGGGGATGCTACCCATTGCAGAACACAAGAGTGATTACCTAGAGATCTTCTACAGACATTTCAGCTCCCCTAGGCCTGATGTATAAAGAAAGAAAGTACTCACAGAGCCTGATGTGTGCTCAAGGTTCCTTGGAGTTTTCCCTGTCTGACTCCTCATTCAGTTTTACACGAGTCTGAACAACATAACCTGTATGGAGTGTTGTTGAAACAGGATTTGGAAAGGCTTCTGTGAGGAAGAACCTCACCTCATCCCCTCCTGTACAAGCACTGAGTCAAGAAAAAGGACTACAGTACGAGGGAGGATGGGACAGGAGCGTATTTTCACATTTGGGTTATGTTTTTGGTTTGTTTTCCTAGGAGGACGTCCATCTCTGGAAACTGGAAGGCAAACACAGGTTCTGCAATGCTAGAACAGATTGCCATGACAGAGAGGTAAGGAAGAGGGTTTCAAGACAGTATTAGCTGTTCTTGGGTTAGAAGGGAGGAATTGTATTTCAGACTCTGGTTAATTGAGAGAACTGGTAAGTGACGTCTCCCAGGAGGCTGGATAAATGAGTTTAAAAGGCCAAGTGTTTCCTTAAAAAAATACTCAGGGCACAAAGGCAAACTGTCCTATTTTGGAGAACAGACTGGAAGTATAGCTAGAGACAAACATTGCTAAATCATTAGATCTTTAGTGAATGTAGCCACAGGAAACAAGACCAGAATGCTCAGGTCAAGCACACAAGCACAAACATGTAGGATAAAATCAGAAAGGTCACAGCAGAAAACAAGAAGTAACAAGAAGTTATTTTAAGCACACTACTAGTGAGAAGCAGTCACAGAAAAGTATTTTTCTTCTGCTCAACAGAGAGAAAAATCTTTCAGCTGAAGTGTTGAAAGTGCTTTTTCGCATTAGTCTCCCAAAAGTGGACATTGGTTTAGATAAGGTCTTCTCACTGCTGAACAGAACAGAAGGAATTGCCTCATGCATCTTATAGACTAAAATTCTCAGGTGATATTTCCATGTATTCAAACCACTGTGATATTTGCTAATATTGCAACTGCATGACATTGTTTACTCACGGTAACTTATGCTTTCCTGTAACTCCCAAACCGTATTCTGCAAAACTGCTATCAAGTCACTTGTTCTGCACCTTATGTAAGTAGATTATTCGGAGTTTTATAGAATCCATAGATTATGGGTAGGCACTCATCCCTAGTGAATCTATGATTTTTTCAGATTGGACCTCCAACTTGTCAGGGTCATGATTAATTCTGACTCTGTCCAGGTTTGGGCACCACATTTGAAGAGAGATAGTAAGGATTTGCAGAGAGCCCAAAGGACAATAAAGGAAACACTCAGAGAAAACATAATCAACCTATGAGAAAAGCATGCAACAATTGCTTATGTAGTTTTCCACCTTTTTCAGTCAGCAGACCACTGATATTTTTCCAGTAGAGGTGTAGTTTCATCCATAATGAATCTATGCCTGCAGTGCAAAGGTTCACTTTCCTTCATTAGCTGTCACAGAGCTAGAAGAGGTTGTCCACAAGGTGGACACCTCTTCATCCTAAAGATGAAAAAACTTAAAGGGCACAAGCTCTTCAAATATGTAAAAGCCCGCTGATAGGGCATCATTTGCTCTTTATATTACCAGTACAATACTGTAAGAAATAACGGGCTTAAATTATAGCAGAAAAGTTCATTTGAACATTTCCTATATTTCCTAACAGTAAGGATAGCATAGCACAGAAATTAATTGCCTGGAGAAGGTGGGGAATCTCTGTACTCTTTCAGATTAGATTAAAAAAATGCTTCCTCTTTGGGGTACAAGAGTCGTGAAAGTGATCATGTAAGGTCCCTTCTGTACCTTTATTTCTGTGAAACAGGGAAGCCAAGCCCCAAATCAGGTGCTAAAGGTGACCCTGCCAGACCCTAACAGGGACTGTGTGAACTGGACATTATTATGCATCCTGGTTGTTTATGGCACAGCTGAAGCTAGAGAGACAAAGGGTAGACATTCTGCACGGCAGTGTTGTAGGACTAAAACCCAGATTCCTGCCAGCCTGCCACGTTGCATTTTGAATGTTCATTTTGTAGATGTAGTACCATAATTCACCACTCTAGCCTTATCCAGCCATAAATGCAACAAATTCCATTGAAATCTGTGAGCCATCAGTGCATACAACAAGGCAGGAGTGTGCTGATATGCTTGGATGAGTAGGAGCAACCTGAAGTACCTACTGTACTGTACAGTAGCCCAAAGGATTGACATGTTCAGGTAATACAAGGCAAAACGGTAGTAAATGCTCTGCAAATACTACCCCTGATGCATATGCATAAATACTGCATAAATATGCTTCTGTCCCATAGCACTACCATTCCACCCCAGAAGCCCTGATGCCTCCCAGTGCTCACCTAGGGCCAGCAACATTGAAGACATGTAGCTATCAGGGTCTCTGGCATGGGCAACAATTCCCTGAGGCTGGCTGCTGAATCCAGACACCTAGAGACTTACCTCAGGAAGAGAAGTGGTTCCACAACGGTGCCCCTGGGTGTGGGGCCACAGCAGTGCACAAGGCGGGCTTGCCGTGCCTCCTGCCTGGCTCATGGTGTCCATAGTTCTCCTCCTCATTATGCTACTGACTCCTTCTCAGGCACTGTCTTCCTCAGGGGCACTGGAGTGAACGTGCCTGGTCTCCTCATTAGGGATAAGAGAGCACCAGTAGTCGTATAAGCCATATTTTTGCTTCTTACTGCAGACCTTGTGTTCACACAAGTTGATCATTATATTGTCAAGCTATGGGGACTCTGGCTGGCTTCAAGGATGTAAACTTGTTCTTTGGCCAGAACAGTTCTTTTCTCAGTCCCTGTAGGGTCTGCAAAATCCCAGTGTTTTCCCAAGACTGTGGCCTTCCCTCCCCTCTATGCATCTTGTCATAGTCCTGCTTACAGATCTGCTCTTCTGAGATAATTATTTTTATTTAAATGGTCAGGCCTGCGGCGCAGCTGCACAGGAAATAAAACCAGGCCGCCTCATTCCCTTCTCATTTCCACAGCCGGGGGATGCAGTCCCCCCATAATAAGCCTCCTGTCATTCTCTCTCCTCCTCCAACACTAGGATAGCTAAGGGGCCACCAGCTCATGTTCCCAACCTGGGACAGCTAGAGAAAAGGGCTGCAGCTCTCCCTTTAACAAAACAGTACTTGGTCCATGTGATGGGACCGCCTGGCTAGGAACAATGCCCTGGGGACAGAACGGAGGCAGGAGATTATAAAAGGATGAAATTGAAAGACTAAATTGTAAAAAGCAGGAGCCAATGGGTTACAGATCAGGGAGGGGAGGGCTACTCCTTGCTAAATTCTGCACTCACTTTCCCATCCTATTCCAGCCCCAATGTGCAGGACATCTTATCAGGTGAAAGCTGCCTGCATAATGGAGGGCTTTCAGCCAAAGCCAATACAAACGCTAAGGGGCCAACACTACTGGGAGATTAAATGAGCTAAATATTTATAGCTTGGCTAAATGACAACCGACTGGAGATCTGATGTAAATACCAAGGAGAGAAAGAAACATCTTAAGGTGACATTGAGGGTGGAATTGAAACAAACTGAAATGAGGAGAAACTTTAGGCAAGAATCTTATTTTTTTTTGCTCCATGTCCTGTGCAAGAAAGGGAGACAATGACCCAGCAAAGCATATGAAGTATGCCTTGTGGTAAAAAGGGCTCTGGAATTTCTTTGTGCTCCTATGGGTAGCAGGACAGGTGGCCTTATTTGCTGGACTACTCAATGACTGCTAATCCTAGGCCATGCTTCTCTGGTTTCTGCAGGTACAGACTCTGGGCAGATGCCTGCGCAGAAATGTTTGGAGGTCTTGACATCTGTGCTGTCAAAGCTGTCCATAGCAAAGATGGAAAAGACTATATCATTGAGGTGAGAGCATGGGGAACCTGAATGCAAGTCTCCTTTGGGAAGTGTATCTGAAACATGCTCCCTCGGAGTTCATAGGCACCAATGTGCACACTTACCCCCGTGTGCATGGTCCAGCAGTCACCACTCCTCCATGTCCACCTGTATCCTCCAAGCTGTGGCCCACTGATATGCAAGAAACTGATTTAGAGTCTCAGCTAAACTGGCAGATATGCAGGAAGGTGTCAGGGTTGAAGTGCCTTCATTTCTCAGTGTGGTCTGTGAAAGGAAATGGAGAGCCACAGACTGCTTGGCCACCCCAGCTTTCCAGCTGACAAATCCCCACAGTACAGAACCTTACCAGTGCGGGACAGATGTCAAGTTGCCTCCTTATCGAGCATCTACCTGCCTGCAAGTGTTTCTAGCAGCACCCAAAGTTTGGTGTGTCTCAGTGTACCAGTGCCCCCATTCCATCCTTCCTAGGCTAAGCACTGGCAAAGCGAGCGCATCTCTCATAGCGGCTAGTAGGGATCAGCAACATCATGAAGAAAAATGCTCATATTCCGCCCAGCCTGAATTCAGGTGCTAGATGATGCTAGCATATTAGTCATGTTAACCTCCCCCCACTACTCACACAGGGATACAGAGGTCCAGCAGGTGATTCCATCCATTAAAAACCTCAGTTTCTCTCTGAAAAAACTTGTCTTTCTTCAATCACTTTAAAAGGAACCTCAACAACAAAAATCCTAGCTGCCTCTAGTTTAAAAGAGTAAAATAAATTGTGAGAGTGTAGCAAAAAGGTCCATAAATAGCAGGAATAATTTAATTAAAAAAAAAAAGACCAGATATATTTTCTAAAATCTTTTGCCCAGGTAGCATTCATCATAATAACAGGCTAGCAAGGCAAAGCACCACAGAGTTACTGTGGGCAATGTGAACTACAAACTTCTGTATTCAGAGCTTGACAGACTGTGGCTCTGAGAGCTAAAGTTCAACGTGCTCCTTGCCAGGCCAGGAGGCAGATGTGGGAGTGGGGTAAATAGCACACTCAGGTCATCCTAACAGGGCAGAGAAGGAAAAGCTGGCCAGAAAATCAAAGTGGAAACTGAAGAGACACTCTAGGGGAGAGAAAATCTGGCAAGTAAGCAAGTGCCTCTGTCACTATGTGACTCAAGAAGGCACAGCAGCTGACCTGCTGTAAACTCCACCAACACAGGCCAGCCGAGGAAGATGAGCAGAGCCAGCCTATGGCTTCATGCAGGGGTGCTGACACACTGGAAAACTATGTGTGGGAGAGCAGTCCCACCCGCTGAGGGTTGGGATGCTGATGAGAACCACATGAGCCCTCCAGCGACTGCGAATTCCTGCATTATGTATCTCCTCTCCGGGGAGCAGTGACCTGTCAAAGGCCATGTGATATAAGCACGCTGCCAGCAACCAAGTGCTGTCGATCCCCCCATCTTTCCTGATGTGGTGTGGCCATGGCTGATGGGTCTGCTCCTGTCTGCAATTCATCAGCACCTAGAGGAGCATCCCCCAGAGAAGAGTGTCTCCCTGCCATGCGCTTTTATGTCTCTATGCACATGTAGCTGAGAAAGGAAGAGCAAGAAAGCATTCTTGCTAGAAACTACTGTAAGGACATTTGGACTGTGTCCATACATGGTCAGAAGCAAGATGTGGTTTTCATATCCCTGCATCTATTCTTGCACATAAGCCTACGTACGTGCACACATGGCTAATTCTGTGCTTAAGGATTATATGCCTCTATCTGGATATACCTCTGGGTTTTCACATCTGCCCCCGTGTTTGACTGACTGGATGAAAAGCACATCCATATGCTAACAGCCATCACTAGCTTACACACAGAGAGAAATGCACACTCATGCTCCTCTCTCTGAGGACAAGGTAAAAAGCAATGGATCTAATATGACACAAATCAGAAGAAACACAACAGCTTCAGGTGGGTCACGATGAATTATCACAGCGGAGAACCTGATCGGGCAGGCCTGATGTACTAACTTCTAGCAGGCATTCAGATGCCAGGCTGATGGACATTGTCAGGAAAGGAGTAGAGCAGTGCAATATAAAGAGCAGAACAAAGCCAAACAGGCACCTTTTCTACTTTATGCAGATCTGAGGGGGATGCTGACAAGTAATTAATTGCCTCCAGACTACTTCCTGGGGTACTTTTCTTGGTCTGAAACTGATCCTTTATTTGGCTTTTTTCTTTTGATAGTGGGAAAAAGAAGTTATTTGACAGTGTGACAGTTGTATTTTTCTTGGTGAGAAGGAACAGTGTGCTGTGACATTTTACAAGAAAGCACGCCTAAATGGGCTGAACAAATAAGGAATTTGCACAATGCTATTGCAGGCAGTAATTAATTTTCACAGTGCAAGCAGTTCTCTAGGAAAGATTCACAGAGGTAGTGATGGGCAGTTCTGTGAACTGAGATTTATCACAGTGGTTTGTTGCAAACAGAATCAGATTAAGATAGATGACTTATCAACGCAGCACAAGAGTAATCTTGCACCCATGGTATTTGCTGTTACTTGAACTTTGCCGCCTTTTCTTTTCCCATGGCAAAGAGCAGAAGCGAGTACGTTTCTGCCCTTTAAAGCACTAGTACACTTACATGCCATTTTCATGGTTCATATTGAAAACTTTGAAGAAATCAACAGATTTCTTTAAAGTTTCATTCTATTAAAACAGCTGTGAATTAAATGGTAAATGCTGGTACTTCCTTTTCCTCTGCTTCAAAGAACTTTGTCACTTTAAGGAAATATTCAGCATGAATAGTTAGCACTTGATTCTCAAACTAGTGCAAGTTCAGTACCACTGTTAGCAGCCAGATTCTCAAAAGAGCTCAGTAGCCTGTATGGTTTAATAACCTCCCCCCCTCCCTTTTTTTTTTTTTGGTAATCTAACCCTTTTCCACATCTCTGCTATGCTGACAAACATGGAGCAAATAGAGGGCAAGTGAAATGATCCATGTGATTTATTCTTCCTCCTGGATCAACTAAGCCCTACTTGCCATACAGCTAAGCTGAGTTGCTAGACGTTCTCCTTGCTGCCCTGCAAGAAGCCCTGCCCATGCCTTCAGCGCTGCCATATCTTTTGATAAGTCTAATCACCTATTTCCTTCCTTCCTTCCCTAAAAATCACCTAACACTCTGCGATTGCACATCAGAGCAACAAGTCCAGCCTTCAGGCCTTAGCGTCAGATAGGCACAGGGAGGACCGGGATGGGGTTTTCCTGAGTGTTTTCTCTGCCTGGCCACTTTCCGCTCCCCCTGCCCCCACCCATACACCTTATCAGGCAACAGCAGCTGCATCAGGAGGAACCACTGACCTTGGGCAGCTACAAAGGCCGGGTCCATACGTGCCAACATCTTCTTGTCTTGTCCAGCTGTTCTCTGATCTCCCCGGGAGGAGATGAGTGCAATCTGCCTGTGATTCATATATTCCTCTCAGCCATTTGATTTATTTCAGCATTAGCATTCAGATTTGCCCAGTTCCAGAGCAATTCCCCTTTCCCGGAGGACAGACAAGGTGACATCTCATGCTCCTTTTCAGTTCAGTGGCAACCAGCTGTGTCATTTTGCCCACAGAAATCACTGCCATTTTCAAAGACGTCCCCTTATGCGTGGGATTGGAAATATGGGAATGGACAGTCTCCCACAGCTCACATTCCCCTGCCACGCAGTACGCTGCAGGACAGCAGATACCCCCATCCCTGGTGCACCTTCACTGGCTCAGGTGGGACCTGCTCCAAGTTCATTCCCCAGGTGCCTTTGTTTTATAAAACAGCATCTTCGCCTTCCTCTCCAGCCACTGCTGCCACAGAAATAGGGGAAAGCAATCCTTAAGATGGGGAAAGAAATCCTTAAGATGGGGAAACGAGGGGTTTGGGGTGTTTTGACCCGAGCTGTACCTCAGTGACTCACAGGGAGGGTCAGGGAGCCGGGAGCTGCGCCTGGCTGGCTGGCCTGTCAGTAATGGCGGGTAGAGTAATGGCATCATCTGGTGGTCAGACAGCTCCCTTGCACGGTGCGTGGCAGGGAGCTGGGAGACCTCTTTTCTCGAGTGAGCTGGAATTGCCAAATGAAATGGGAATGCTTTTAAGGTGGGAGCGGAGGGGAGGGAAACCTGTGCAGGAACCTGCCGGAGGGCCCCCAGCAGCCCCTGGATAGCGACACAGACGGGAACTGGCCGTTCCCCTACACTGCTAGGAAACATCCCCTTTCCCCACCCCATTTTTTAACAGAGAAACGGTGAAGTGGGCAGTGGAATGAAAAGCCGCTTTGTGTATTTAGCTGAGCGCTGCCATCTAATTTGCTAACCTCCTTCTTTAGCCCCCTGGGTCAAGCAGGCCATGGATATAAACACCAACTCACTCTTCATGCGAACCCCAGTTAAAACTTCCTAGGCAGCTTCTGTAGTGTTCCTAAAAGACACCTATAGAAATTAATCCAATTAATATTCTGCAAGAAAAGACTGGAATACAAACACAACGAACTCACCTCACTGATTTCCCCTACTTTAAATCTAAAACAAAAGCGTGCAAAACTTTCCATTTCACTCCAAGAGTGGACTCTTGCAGCCTTGCCAGGGTGGAGTGCACTTCTGATTGTTATCGGAGTGTGAGTCAGTGCCTTTCTTGAGCAATGCAACCTTTAACTCTGCATTTCCAGGGTTTCTCATGTTTGGTTTAAAAATAAAAGGAAAATAAAATAAACTCTTCCAACCCTGATATTTTGGTACAATTATATTTACTCCAGCTGAATCTTACTTCATCATAGGGCAGCTCTTCCTGTGGGATTTAGCTAATGTTTGCGAAGCACTTGATTTATGATCAACTATTGAAAAAGATGTTTAAGGCTGCTACACAGCTGAGGGTCTTCTGTGCTTTCATTATTATTGTTGTTGTCAGACTATTTCTTACCTCAAAGACCCTTTGACAGTTCTCCTTTCCCCATCACCACAGTCTTGCTTCCCAGCTTTCCCCAGCACAGTTGTAGTACTCACTTGGGAAGCAGTCATATTACAACAGTATCAAGAAGACAAGCAGAGAATAAATTTACTTTCCTGCATTGGGTGCTGCTGTTTTGGTGACATCCTATTATTACACATCTGTGGTGTTTATTTCCCCTCTCAGGGTGCAGTGCTTTGCTTTGATTAATCCCAAATGTGTCCTAGTTTCCTCCAGACCCTGTTGCTCTCATCTCCTCAGGCCTCGGTACATGTTGTTTCCCTTCTCCTTTGGCCCTTTCTGCTGCAATGTCACCCCTAAATGCTGTGGGACAATGCCTCACCCATCAGAGGCATCTGCTCAGGACATGTGAAGAAGCAAGTTTGTGTTTAGTCGATTTAGAAAGCCTCCAGCCACCAGAAGTCTTGGCTTGGCTTCCAAGTTGTGAAAGGAAGGAAGATGTGGAGTGGGTGGAAGTACATGCCATTTGCAAAGAAACCTAAGCGAAATCCCACACCTAGAAAAGTCAAGCATGTTTCAGCATGGAGGGGAGTGGTGACTAGAGGTGTTGGCAAGGATGTGAAGACACAAAGCAGGTTAGTGTGAGAGGTGAGTTGAAACAGGCATCTGCCACCAGGAAACCTCATTACTAACTGCTGTTTTTCCCTCCTGTGGCAGGTGATGGACAGCTCGATGCCCCTGATCGGGGAGCATGTGGAAGAGGACAGACAGCTTATAGCCGATTTGGTTGTTTCCAGAATGACTCAGCTTGTCATCACTGGTGGATCTACACCATCACCGCTGAGGCCTTGGGTATGAGCAAATAGAGACCTTATGGCCAAGTTATTTCCCTGAATTTCTTTTTTTTCTCTCTCCTCCCTGTAGGTGTCAGGCAGTCAGACATCCCAGGGAGTTCAACAGTCCCATATGGGAGTGTATTGGATAGATTGACTCCTGTTCTTCCAAAGAAGTCTCATAGACTCTTTGAAGTGTGTGCCCCTAAGAAACACCTCTCTCTCCCTTTCTCTCCTTCCATATAACTGTGGCATCACATTAGTAGTGTGGGCCATGCATCTAGATATTCTGGCTTGCTAAATTCATAGATTCATGTTGAAGACAGCCATTTTTAGAGATGCTTGTAATGCCCAACTTCATCTCCATCTAACACTATCCCTCAGGATAGGCTTCATTCCAGTTTTTGCAACCCTGATGAAAATCTATGCTTCCCAGAATGGAAAGTGGGAATCTCCACCAAGAGATGTTCCATTCCTTAATGCAGCCTTTCTTCTTTGGAGATGCCCTTCACCCCCTTCATCAGGAGGAGGCTTGACTAATGCTGAATTCATGCATGAATCTGTCATTTTTGCATTTAAACTGACCCCGTGGTGCTTCTCGTGTATATTCATTTTTAGTATCAAATGCATCTAATCTTAGTGCCACATTTCCCAGTGGCAGTTCTGTATAAATGAAACACACCAGGACATAATCTGTGTCTCTGGGTGTATGTGCTACACCTCTTTCAGTATTCAGAAGGGAGCCAAGCATGAAGGTTTGAGGACAACAAATCTGTACAAAAGAAAGGACAAGAGAGCAAACAGGCTGAGGGATAATGCTGACTGCAACGCACTGGAACAGTTCCCATTTCCACTTGATACAGAAAATACAAGAAAGCACTTTAGGACTCTCTGTCTTTGTCAGCCCACTCCTCCTAAACCAGGTCCCCAGCATGAAGGGTATTCGGGGTAACTCCAAATCAAGTTTTAGCTAAAGTGAGGGGGTAAACATTTAATAGACACTAAAAATGCTTTGAGGAAGGGAAAAGAATACAGAAGGGATAGGATTTACTCTGGCCAAAGAGGAATCAACAACTGCCATCTGAAATAACCAAGATATAGAGTGTATAAACTAAGAGCAAAGGGGAAGCCAAAAGAAACTGAGAACATGGACAGATGCATCTGTTTTCTATGTCTGTAATATACTGGTATAAGATTGGACTGGATTATAACAGACCTAAAATAGGGCCAAAATAAGAATAAAAACCCCCCACATTCTTTGAGAAATAGAATGTCAAATAAAAGAGTTAAACAAGAAAAGGGTCTTCATCAAGAATACAACCTACAAATATCTGTATACAAAATCAAGAAAATTAAAACCACAAACATGTTAACTATAGTGTTTTGCTATAGAGAAAGACCTTGGTACAGCAAACATTGCAGAAACTGCACAAGCTACAATTACTGGCATAATGCTGTAACATGTAGTTACAAATGTACAAAGAGAAGCAGGAACGGCTGGGGGCTTTGGGGCTGTTTAGCCTGGAGAGGAGGAGGCTGAGGGGAGACCTTATCGCTCTCTACAACTACCTGAAAGGAGGTTGTAGTGAGGCAGGGGATCGGTTTGTTCTTCCCGGTAACAAGCAATAGAACAAGGGGAAATGGCCTTAAGCTGCAACAGGAGAGGTTCAGGCTGGATATCAGGAAGAATTTCTTTACTGCAAGGGTTGTCAGGTATTGGAGCAGCCGGCCCAGGGAGGTGGTGGAGTCACCATCCCTGGAGGTGCTAAAGAGACGGGTAGATGTTGTACTTAGGGACATGGTTTAGCAGTGTTGATAGAGCTAGGACAAAGGTTGGACTCGATGATCTTGAAGGTCTCTTCCAACCAAAACTGTTCTATGATTGTATGTGAGGCTGGTGAGATGCAGAACTAAAGCTACAGGTGAAGACTTCCACAGAACAAAGAAAAATAACAATTCTGAATACAAGGACAGCAGTACTGAATACATAGAAATATGAACCCTTGGATATCCTAGGGGTATGCATAGACTATCTACACGTGTTACTGGAGCTGCCTAAACTAGTCTCTGGATCAAGCAAAACCGAGAAATTATGAAACTGAGTGCACAGCATTGACAGAGGTGGAAGAAGAAACAAGTCATAATAATGTGAGACTGCAGCTATCAAGAAGCAAGTCAAAGAGCACAGTGGGACAGCAATTCAGTTCCCCATCTTTGTAGGTGTCTGCTTCCTGGAACTGCAAAACCAAAGCACAATAGAAAACAACACCTTGACCTTGCCTTAAGAAACACCCAGGTACAAATTCAGAAACTGAATATGTACCATTAGGTTTGATGTCCAAGAGACAGATATGGTATCAAAAAGTAACAGTATGACACAAGCAGTTAGAAAAGATGATTTTAATAAAATGAGAAAATCAGAAGTAGCATTAAAAGCAAAACTGTATGGACGTTTTCCAGAATGCATGTATACATTTCTGATCTGCAAGGAATGCAAGAAATAAACTTCTAGACTTAAGTGGCAAAGTGATAGAGGACATTCAAAACCCACAGAAAAAAAAAATCTTCCAAATTTGTAAATCCAACATTTAAGAGGACATTTATGCTCCATCATGCAAGTAATAAAAGGAAACATAAAAAGGATAGAAATTTATTTTGAAGATCAGATAGAGGGAAGAATTAAACAAATTCTTTATGTTCCTCAGAAGATGGAATCCTACCAAAGAATTGGTGAGCTCTATGGATCACCCAAGAGAGAAAAGGAAGACAACAGGGACAGTGTTGTAACTCTAGCAAATTTAATTGCTGAAAGTAGGGAACTTCTTAAACTAGATAGAGTTTTTCCTGATCAGAAAGACAGGTTAGCAAACAAAACCAGTGATTAAATCAGTGATGACTCCTATTTAAAAAAATTAAGCCCCCAGACCCAGATGGTTGCATCCAATGAACTGAATTTAGGAACTGACTAAGTTGCCAGGAAAAAATGTGCAATTTCATTAGAAACAGTTATTGCTCCAGAGGATTGGTGTAAAACAAATACAAAATATGTGTTTAAAAAGTTGTAAGAGTACCTTAGAAAAATGTAGACAAGTCATGGACCTTACGAATTATCTCAGGCAATAATTTAAAGAATAATACAGAAGACTAATAAACCAATAGAACCATGGCTTAAGAGCATCTACCACATTGGTTTTTTGGAAGAAAATCATTCCATTAATTTTGTTTTGATTCTTCTTCCTTCATTTCTTTGAGAATTCTTTCATAAAGTGGTACATAACAGGCAATCAGTCAAAATAATGTAACTAGACTGTCAAAATGTCTTAGGCAAGGTAACAGAAAAGAGCTATTAAAGAAACCAAGCAGGGAGAGGCTAAAAGGCAAAGTTTCATTGTGGAGCAGAAGTTGGCCTCAGATAAAGACATAGATAGGAGATATTTTACTTCTTGCAAACAGTTAGCAGAGAGGATACTTAAAGGATACTAAGCTTGATCATGTTGATAACTGGGTTGGTTGAGTCCAGGACAGGGTAAGATGTTAATGACGAACTTGTTTTCATGCCTGCAACATGAAACCTGGTTTTATGGCTACAGCTGTGGTTCTCCCCTTGCCTCTCTGCCCCACCTCCATCCTTTCCCTTCACTGTTTCTCTTCCAAAGGCAGAATACCTTGGGCTGGCCCTCACTCTTCATCTCTGAGCCACAAAATCCTGTTTTGCCTTCATCTCTGAGAAGCATTGGTTGGCTGTAGGCAAAGGCCATAGAGGTCAATATGAAATCTGATTCCCTTTCTTCGGCTGGTCTAATCAGGATGTCTCATGGCACTAGGACAGTAAATTCCCACCAATACCAAGGCAAGGTTTAGTGTACCAGGTACATAGTGTACTATGTAGGACTAGAAGCCATGAATGGAAAATTCACAGATTTTCCTCCCTGTCCATTTGCAAGTCGCAGATAGTGTAAAATACGGGCTGGCAACATCATGGCATGGCATTTACATTAGTCAGTTGAAATGTATTTCAGTGCTTCCAACTATGAAACATTTCTTCCCATTTCCAGAATCACTTAGCTCATTCTCCTGACCTTCCAGAAGCCTTGAAGACCCTTTTATCATCGTGTTCTCCATGTAAATAACCCGGCATGTACCAGCCTATCTGTCTCCATCCTCCCCTGCTTTCATAAACAATTTTGTGCAATAGCCTTACTTAGACTTTTGTTAACTTTGGACCAGCCCTTTGTGCAACAGTTCTGTGTTGCTTAATCTGTTTATTAAAATATCTGTCAAAAAGAGTAAACAGTGAGAAAGAAGAAAGTGCAGATGGCACCAACATATTTGCATTAGTGAGGACCAAGGATGGCAGTGAAGAACATCTGACAGAGCTATGTATGTTAAATCACCACACCAGCAAATGAAACTCCATGTAGAAGATTGAAAGGTAAGCTAAGCTAGGGGTAGAGAGAGGGAGAACATAAACAATCCATACACCTTGCAACTGGCACTAGCCATTCCCCTTGAGAGAAACTTTGTCACATACAGGCTAATGAAAACCATTGCTCAGCCTCAGGTTGTGTTGATAAGGGAGAAGCAGGAAATTAGGATGCGGAAATGAGCTGGTGACGTATAAAGAGAACTCAAATACTGCTTCATCTGGAATAATGCAAGCAGACCTACCTCTGGCATCTGCAGAAGGAATCACAAAGCTGGAAAGAGAAGTGGGCGATGAAAACATTTAGGGGCCTGGAAACATACCCATGGAGGGACTGAAGGGATTCAGTCTCTTGGCTTTAGAAAGGAGGTGAACGAGAGAGAAGGCAGTAAATGACGTGAAATAATGAATGGCCTAGAAAGTGCAGGTTGTGAGAACTAGTCTCAAAACCCAGAACAAAGCAATGGAGTTAAGAAATGAGAAAGGCAGTGGGCTGCGCTGAGCAAGACTCAAAGGTGTAACAACAATGTAAACAAAATATGTGGAACTGCTGCAAAGATTTTGTGGAACAGATAATAAGCTTCATGTTTCAGGGTTGAAGCTGGCCCTTGCTTATTATCAATCAAGAGAAGACCCCTTAGGGTAAACAGATGATTACTCCATAGATGTTTCCCTGGTTCATTCCTCCTTCCTTCGGAACATCTGGTGCTGGCAACTGTCCAAAATGGGAGATGGGACTAAGAGACCCCCCCTGGCCCAATACATTTGGTAACTCCTGATTGCCTAAAAAACATTCTAAACTGTAACTTGTTATTCCCTGTGAGCAAACAACTTCTGTGCTCTTTATTGCTTAGGTCTCCATTTCAGTCCCATGACATTTTACCAGCCAGATGGTGCATGCGCACACATGTGTGTAAGGAACACTTCATGACTCTGCAGTTCCTGTATTACCTCAGGGCTTCTCTTTGGGGACTCTGTATTAACTGCAATGGCTTTTTTTCCTCTAGCCTCCACAAGCTCAGCCTGCATCAATGAAAACTCAGACTGGACCTCAGCTGGGACAACTGTCCCAACCACGGCCTCCTCCCCAAGGTACAGTTCTTTGGGTCCCATGATAGTGTGGACTGTGAGACCTATCAGTTTGCCTTCTAAGTAAAAACAATCAGGATAAAGATCTCACTCATTGCTCCAATTCAGTGACAAGCTGGCGGAAAATTCAGTGTGCTGTTAAAGCAGCTGCCATCGTATTCCACAGCAGCTCAGAAAGTCCGATGAAAGTTTGATACAGATACACTTTATACTGCTGGTAGGACTTGGCTCAGCAAAATAAGGCCACTTGAACTGGCATTGCCACAGGATTATGGGCACAGAGTGTATTTGTGTTTGCACAAAGCTGTAGCAGCTACAAGTGTTATGAAGTGATGGTAAGATGCTAGTGCTGTCAGGCCTGGAACAGACACCAACATGGTGATGCCAGGATCCTTGATTGATCTGTTCAGGTGTTCCACTGTCAGCAAGAGTACACTCCCAGCTCGCTCTGACAGCAGAAGCAGGTTTGACTCACGTGGCTTGGTCACAACAACAGATATGGTTTATTGTCCTGATTTACGCTGAGGTGATGAAGCACAGGGCTGCCCCTGAGCACTGAGACCACACCAACCACTCAATTGACATAATCAATTAGACTCTCCTTTTTGCCACCTTTGTCCTTTCTTCATTCCAATCTCCTACCAAATTAACACTCACCTCTAATTATCTTTTCCTCATCGGTCACAGTTTCGCTGTATCCAAAGTTTAGGATTTCTGATACCAAATGCATCTATGTAATCTTGGCGCTACATGGTATCACTGATATGAATTGTTGGCCTCGCAGGATACTACTCCCCATCTGTCTCCAGTACTCCCCTTCAATTCTCTGTGAAGTTTTTTTCTCACATACCTCCCCCTTGACCACCTGTGAAACACAACCAGCCCTCACAACACTAACTTTTGTCAGCTTCTCACACTTATCTGACATGTCCAGCAATTTCTCATGCCACATTCAATTGTTTTCCATATCGTCTCCAGTTTTGAGAGTCTGCTACCAATACAGCTGAAGCTACCTGCTGACAATGCCGGAACAGATGTATGGATAGTAATAGGGTGCACAGTCTTACATCAAACTGCAGGGCCTATGAAGGAACTGCTGACCCAAGTCAGCAGATTAATCTTTTATTTTCTGCAGAGAGTTGGTTCTCCAGTGGTTCCTCCTTCCCAATGCAGGAATTGCTTGCCAAGGCTAAGAAATATTAGTTACATGGAAAAGTACAGAATGTTGAAGTGACTCCCCACTGGGGAGAGTGGCAGAGCTTCTTCAGTGCTGAAGGAGGTAGAGAAATGGACAATAACTCTAGAGACATGGGCATGACACCAGTTTTAGGCCTGTAAGAGAGGTTTTCCCTTATCCTTCTGCATGAAGCTCCTCTGAAGTCTCTCCCCTTGGCAAAACCCATTCTTTCATACAGATGCACCTTGCTTGTTGTCTACCACATGCACATCCTCATGTTTATGTCTATGTGTCCCTTTCAGGTGGACCACGCCAGCCTCAGGGATCTCAGCCTCCACGGACAAATGCACCTCCACAGCAGCGGCTCTCTCCTCAAGGACAGCAGCCCCAGAGTCCCCAGTCAACTTCACCTCAGCAGCAAAGGTCACCTGGATCTCCACAGCAAGTCCGATCAGCAACTGGGTCCTCTCCAGTCCAGGCTCCCAAGGCAGGCATGTTCCCTCCACAGCAGCCTAGACCTCCAGCTCAAGGCCGGGCTCCTAGCCAGCCAAGCCCCACTGAAACGTCCAAGCAGCAAGCTACCCCACACCCACATCTGAAGTAGGTGTTCTGTTAAACTGCTAATACCTGTAGATACTAGAATAAGGCTGTCAAAAAAGCACCCCAAGCTGGCATGAACATCTTACCTGTTGTCAGGCATTAGTCCCCAGGGACAAAGGCCTGGACAACTGTGAATAACTTCAGAGGCATATAGGCCTGTGCATAACAGGCCACCATTGACCTGTTGGAAGAACAAGTTGTACTTGACATCTCTAAGGTTTCACATTCTTCCTCTTGTTCATGTGCTCATTGTTAATTGTGTGCTCCACCCCAGCCATATCAACATAGCTACTACCTTCCCAGCAGGGTGTACAGTCCTTACAGGCTGTAATCAGCACATTATTGGCCAGAAAACTCAACAAAAGTAACTCCTTCACTATCCCCTGAATGCAAGAGCCACACAAGGTTCTCTACCGGCAATTTTTTGCAATTGGTAGCAAAAAGGGGAGGGAGGATGGGGAATAGAAGTGGCACTACTCATATATATAAAACTCCAGATGGTGACTATATGTTGAAGTGCTCTTCTGGAGCACAGCACACCACGAATTATTGTGGATCTTTGGTAACAGTCTTTACTGCCACCATTCACAGGGCATATCTGGCTGGCACCACAGCAGGAAAGACTGACACAAAAGTTTCAGTGTTGACAAAAAGTTGACATGAGAGCAAATTGGTATGAACAGGCCAGAACAAAACTAGGCTAGGAATGGGAAGACAGTTTCTAGGCAGCAGAGGAGTGATGTTCTGGAACCTGCTTTCATTGATGATGTCTACATTAGCAAGGCAAACCAAGGGCAGTGTACTTAAGGATCAAAACATTGGTGCTAAGGATGCAGTCACCACACTATACATATTTCAGGTACTTTAATTCAGAGCACGGTCTTGTGCTGAACGCCTACCACTGACAGGAAGAAACTACTCGGTGACAAAGCATGGTAGCAGGGAAAATTGGGAGATTCACTTCAAAAGCGCAGTCCTGATCTGAACTTAAACACTGGCAGATGCACACCCAGCAGGAGCAGTGTGTCCAACCAGAAAACCCGCATAACACAGCTAACAGTAGAGCAGACATACCAGGAAGGACAGGCAACAAGCACACATTGCAGGGGACACGGCTACCAACTCGCCAAACCTCTCATGCTCTCACATCTGAAAGGACAGGTACAGCTGACGAGAGACAGGTGAGCCTCGGTATGAATCCATTCTTCTGTATTAGCAGTGAAATGACTTACCTGTTCCTCACAACAGTCGCACCAAATGGCAATGCATACTTTTAGTCAGATGTTTTCATAAACACTTACTGGTCCGGACTGTGATATTGGAGCCACCTGCCTGTGTCCCATCTTCTTCTACCTTCCCCCACCTCCCCTATGCCTGGATGTCATAGCACGTGGAGATTCTCCTTGCTACCCTCTCCTTTCATCCTTGAATTTGTCTGTGACTGAACACAAAGCATCAGTAACCAGCTTTGAACTACCACCTTCTCCTGCTAACTCTAAACTCCTTTTCCATTTCAGCAAATCGCAGTCCCTGACAAACACCTTCAGCATATCTGAATCATCTCAGCGGGGAAATGCCAATGAAGACGAAGCAAAAGCTGAGACCATCCGCAACCTGAGGAAATCATTTGCTAGCCTGTTTTCTGATTAACAGCCCTGCAGCTGGATCTGTGCTTTTGTCAGCCCCCACTCTTCATACCAGCCTACCTGATGTCATCCTGGAATACACTCAATGGTACCCAGCAATTTACAACTAACACCTGGGTAAAGGGAGTTTAGAAAACTATAGTTGGTTTAATACAAAGAAAATATTCTAATAACGGTCTGAAAAGTGACTGTATAAAAGTGGCACTTTTTCATTCGTTTTTTTGTGCATAATCAGAATCACATCTGTTCAAATGACTGAGTTGTAAAGCAAATTTTACTCTTGCTAGCCCCTGTGGAGTCAACAGAGTTATAACAGTGCAAACTAGACTTTATTTTTATTTGTATATAGTCAATACAATTGCTAACTTCCAATTACCGAATCCTTGTTGTGGTCGAGCTAAAGAAAATATGCTTATTTCAAAAACAGATGTGCAAAGATGGGAGTCAAGAATAAGCATTCATTAACTGGTAAAGTGAGCATGCTTGAGCATGGAAACACAGTGAACCATGGAACTTCATGATACCAACTTTATAAGAAGTCACTTTTCAGAGCAAAACTACATTCAAGTTAAGTACGGTACCAGGCATCAGTAAGCGCCAAAGATCACATAAGCAGGTCATCCAGATGGACTGCTGGTTTGCTCCAGATCACTCTGCTCATAGCAGATAAAAGGTCTCTGTTTCATGCCTTGCATTTATGTCCCCTGCACGTGACTCATGAGTTCTGAGAGAAAAATGTCATGTTCTAACCCTGTAGCCTTAGCTCAAAAATAACCTGAGAAATGGGCCTTCCACACAAAAAACAACTTCTTCCCCTGCCCCTGGAAACACCAGAGTTCACATTCACAGTTCACACAAATTCCAGACAAAACCCAGCTAAACTCCAAGCACTTTGGTGACTTGGTCACATCTGGCCAAGTATGTCCCCTAGGAACATGCTTAATTAATAGCAGAGCTGATGAAGTGCACACACTTGTGTGCTGAGTGTTCCATAATACCGAATGGACAGAGAGATGGAGTGAAATCCTGTCTCCCTACTTGAACTCCCACTGACTTCACTGGGATGAGTGCAAAATGAATGCAAGGTGACAAACCTGCTATAGAACAGGAAAACTATCCTTCATAAGTAAGATGAGCTGGGGCCCATCCAGAGACACCAAACCATGGGAGGACATGTACGGGATTGCCTCAAGCAGGTAATGATCAGGATCAGTCCTCCCCAACCACCCCCCAAGACTTATTCTTCCAGAGAAGACGGAGATGGATCTTTGCCAGGTGTGCTTTTCCTCTAAGCCTGCAACACAGAATGAAGCTGTGTATGAGCACATGTACTAGAACTGGGACATGACAAAACCCAGGAATGACACAAGCTACATTCACAATTGAAAACAACACCCTGGGTAAATCAACATTATCATCTGTGACTATCTTGGAGGCCTGTGACTAGTGGTGTTCCATAGGGATCTGTACTGGGTCTGGTCTTATTTAACATATTCATCAATGACCTGGATGAAGGGACAGAGTGCACCTTCGGCAAGTTTGCTGAGGACACAAAACTAGGAGGAGCAGCTGACACACCAGAAGGCTGTGCTGCCATTCAGCGAGACCTGAACAGGCTTGAGGGTTGGGCAGAGAGGAACCTAATGAGGCTCAATAAGGGCAAGTGTAGGGTCCCACACCTGGGCAGGAATAACCCCAAGGACCAGTACAGGCCGGGGGTCGACCTGCTGGAGAGCAGCTCTGTGGAGAAGGACCTGGGAGTTGTGGTAGAGAACAAGTTGACCATGAGCCAGCAATGTGCCCTTGTGGCCAAGAAGGCCGATGGTATCCTGGGATCCATTAAGAAGAATGTGGCCAGCAGGTTGAGGGAGGTTATTCTTCCCCTCTGCCCTGGTGAGACCACATCTGGAGTGCTGTGTCCAGTTCTGGGCCCCCCACAAGACAGACACGGAACTACCGGAGAGAGTCCAGCAGAGGGCTACTAAGATGATTAGAGGACAGGAGCATCTCTCTTATGAGGAAAGGCTGAGAGACCTGGGGCTCTTTAGCCTGGAGAAGAGAAGGCTGAGAGGGGACCTTGTCAACGCTTATAAATATCCAAAGGGCGGGTGTCAAAAGGATGGTGCCAGGCTCTTTCCAGTGGTGCCCAGTGACAGGACAAGGGGCAACAGGCACAAACTGGAGCACAGGAAGTTCCGCCTCAACATGAGGAACAACTTCTTTACTCTGAGGGTGACAGAGCACCAGAACAGGCTGCTCAGGGAGGTCGTGGAGTCTCCTGCTCTGGAAATATTCAAAACCTGCCTGAATGTGATCCTGTGTGACCTGCTCTGGGTGAACCTGCTTTGGCAGAGGAGTTAGACTAGATGATCTCCAGGGGTCCCTTCCAACCCTGACCATTCTGTGATTTCTACTAGCTGAGAACCTACCCCTTGCACCATGCTAGTTCTGTTCATGACACACCTAATGCAGATGCCAGTCCCCATCCCACCTCCTCACTTTTCTTTGAGTTTTGTCAAGTACTCAAGTCACAAACTGTGCATACAGCTTCAAGGCTAGACATTTGTCTTTGTGCTTCCCTTAGCAACTTCACCCTGATGACACTTAGGAATGCTCGGGGAGGCAGGGAGCTCAGTAAGCTAAAAACATTTGAGCCAATGGCACTGATCTTTGCTGCCCCTTAAACAGGGAGATCCCCAGAGCAGCAAAGGCAACACCAGCATTTGCCATCTTGGATCTTACGATTCACTGGTGGGAATAAAGCCAAACAAGCAATTCCTTCCTGCATAGCACCTGTAATGAACATCTAAATCCAGTGCAGTCATCCGGACCTTGTACGACATACCCCTGAGCAGGCCTTCACACATATAATGGCTTTTGTGACCTGTACACTTTCAGGCAAGTAACAGCATAGCTTTTCCAGGTTGGAAAGCTCTCGAGAGACTCATCTGGATCAATGATTTATACCTCAAGTTCAATATTATAGAACCACCCTATTCCCTGATGATTTACATTTTTTTTTTTCAGTTATGTGTTGTCCTTCCAGGTTTGCTAAACAGTTTACAATGTAGCATCATAAATACCTGCCATTGTCTGAGAAGAAAAAAAAAAAAACAACAAAACCAGACCCTGCTCTTTTGCAGTCTCCAGGAGCAACAAGAGAGTGACAAATGGCCTTGAGCAAGCACTGTCCCACTGGCAAGAACAATAGCAGATTAACAGGCTCCACTATATGGAGAGGAGGTAATACAGCCCTGGTGGGAGAGGATTT